CTGGGGAAAAAAAAATGCACATTTGTTTAGGCCCTTCTAACAACAGAGAGAGACTTGGAAACAGTGATGAGCAAAGCCTACATTTTTCAAAGCCATGTGACGCGGGGCTCAGATATCCTGATAACTCATCAGGATTTGGGTTTCCAGGACAGGTGTTTGGCATGTCGGATTCCCACTCCCTTTGGGAGACACCAAGCTGAGCGCAAAGCTCCCCATGGTCTTGAAAGCTCAAGCGAAGACGCTTTTCGTCTCGCTTTTCCCCTTGACCATCCTTGCAGGACTGAGTCCCTCATGAGGGCTGGGCAGGAGGCGCAGGGCTCTCAGCTTGCAGGCGCTGGGCTCCCTCCTGGCCTGCTTCCCGGCAGTTTGTTTTAGCCCGGGATTCACCCGCTGGGATTACAGAGGCCGCAGACAAAGGTTAGAGGTGAGGCAAAGCAAACGGCCCTGCTTGTTTATTTAGAGGCAGCCCGGACTGGGAGTGCTGGAGACACTGCCACCCTCCCAGGAGAGAACCGCAGCTTTGCAGCACCTTTCTTCAGCTTCTCTCTCTCTCTCTCTTTTTTTTTTTTTTTTAACAGAAATATAATATGGTGACAGATTCAAAATACCATTTCCCTGAGTAACTCCTAGAACCAAAACAGGAGGGAGAGTTTATCCTGCAAGGCGGCCAGCCACGGGAACAAAACAAACACCGCTCCATTGATCTCAGGCCCCACGTGGGAAAACAGCTAAAAAAAGCAAAACAACTCTGCTTGCTTCAGAGACCTTCCTTTCTATTCTGTCGACTTCTCTCCCAATATCCACGTCTCCTTGCCTAGAGATCTTTTTTTTTTTTTTTTCCTCAAAAGATAATCTTCTTATCTTTCCCTTCAGTAAAAAAGCCAAAATTTTGTTTTCATTTAATCTCAGAGCAAACCCACCAACCAGCATCTGATATGATCCTGCACGGACAGCCCGACTTGCACCTTTTCCCTGCTTGCACCCTGTTTAATTGTTACAACAGTAGCGAAGGGTGAAGGATGTGTGTCCCTTTTTGCATAAGGAAAATGGTGCTTTTTTCCCCAGGTCCTGTCACACATCAGCTACCCGAGGCACCGTGTACTTCTCCTGGGATTGCTCCAGATTTATAATGCAGCATGTGGTTATACAATAACAAAAAGAAAAAAAAAAAATCGATTCCAAAGTCCTGGCTGGAAAAGGTAAGCTTTCCTGGGACTGGCGCCTGCTCTCAGCCGTATAGGCACTAATCTGGGGCGAATCTGCTGGCGTCAGGGAGTTTTCTCTAAACGCACTCTGGGGTAAAAAGCAGAAGCGCAGGCGGGCGCCGGCAGCCCAGCCCCAGTGCTCTGCTACCAGAAGTGGCTGCTTACTTTCAAGCTCTCTGCACAGCCTGTAATCACCCAATATTGAAACCAGATTTACAGGCTCTTTAGAGGAGGAGAAGTTTGTGATTTCCAAAGCAGACACACTTGGTATTTCAGAAAAAGGTCAAACCCCCTATGGAGT